AAATATTATAAATCGTAAATGTCAAGAAGAATAAATATAAATAACACAAAAATAAGGAAGCAAAAAATTTCGATAAATGTTGATTTAATTTGATTGTGTAAGTTACTAATCTTTTACAAATTTAGAATCAAACTCAAATCTTTTAGACCCAGAAGTTAATATTGAAGTTTGAAAAAAAAATTAAAAAAAAATCATGAACATGAAACCACGTTAAATGCATTTGTCCCTTTATGTTTGAGAATGAACTAATGAGGATATTGTTACATATTTTATTCTTTCACTAACAAAGTGTTTTTTAATTACAAATATTTTAAATCATTAGATTTATTATTATTTTCATTAATTTACTGTGTATAATAGATTTTCTCATTATCGATTTAATTACTATATAATTTATTTCTCTTGAAAAAAAAATTATAAAAGAAGTATAAAATTGCATTCGAATACATAACATACTGTAATAGTAACGTTCAAATATTCTTCTCACAAAATGTCATAACCTATTTATCATTATATAATAATCAATTAATATTTTATCAGTATAGTCACCAATTATTACATATATTATCTTGAAAACCTTATACATGTACGTATACGTGTTATAATAACGTTACATCCATTTATCCAATAGTAAGAATGACGGCTCAATCATCAAATGAAAATATCATATTACAAAATAAACTCTCACTACTAAATTATTTATAATTTATTTTATTAGTCAACATTTCATATATTATTCAATTTTGATGAATAATTTTATAATGTTTAAGGATCAAAATAATCTCTAAATCAAATCAATTTCTATTTATATTTTTAATAACTTAATCATAAATTATTTTTAATAACTTAATTATAAATTATTTTATAACTAATCTAAATTATATATTTTTAAAATAAAACCAACTAAAACTAGTATTTAAATTAAATTAATTTTATATTATAATTTTTTAAAGTATATATAATCATTTCTTCATATTTTAATTTATTGTTTAATATTATATTTTTAAAATTACATTATCTAAAGTTAAGTTTCTAGGGTGAAACTAGGAGATTGGGAAAATATTATAATCCCTTTAAAAAATATTATATATTTAAAATTTATTAAACAAATATTTATAATCCCCTTAAAAAATATTATATATTTTAACTCTTAAAACTAATTTTATGTCTGTGCGTTTGTAAGATAAGTTTATCAAACTTTCTTTATAACATAAATTTTATTGTAATTAAAAAAATATATATTAAAATCATGCTACTTTACATTACTTTAAAATTAATTTAAAAAATTATGCACCAAATATATTTTAAAACACGAATTTATTTAAAAAAGAAAAAACAGCTTAAAAAAAACCGACTATGAAGTTAATGGTATCAAGCACTTCAGTTAAAATGAAATCGCAGTTTATCTTAAAGTCGGGCTTTACGATAACCATTTAACTAAATAAGGAATCTAAATAAACCCCTGATTCCTTAGCTGTGGTGGCGTATCTTGACAAAAGTTACTCACTTTTAAAATCCATTCACATTTACATCTATGAAAAAACTAATTATAACTATACATTTTAATGATCTTAAGTATTATTAAAGAAAAGTAGATAGAATGGTATAATCTGTTTTGAAAATAGAATATGATTGGATGGTTTAATTGAATGGAGAATTGGATTAAAAATTATATTGTTGTCGAATGATTGAAATTTAATTAAATCAAAATAAAATAAAATAAATTGAGATAAAAGTGATAAAATTAAAAAAATCGGTCAAATTTTTTTAATTGATTTTAGTAAAAAAAAAGTTGAAATCAAATTTTTTATAAAAAATATAATATATTTTAATTTTTTTTATATATTTCATATTAATTACGTAAATTATAAATAATAAAAATAATTGTTTTGTTATATTTTTTTCTAATATATTTTATATTTATAATTTTTATTGTAATTTATTATTATTATATAATAGTTTTTTTTTATTTTTAAATTTATTATATTATACAAATATTATATTGAATATTTAAATCTTAACTGATGTATTTAATAAACGGGTTTTAAAAACATTGTATGCTTTAATAAACTTATCACATTATTAACATTTTTACTATATATTTAATTATTAATCGTGGGCGAAAAATTCTCAAAGATACTCTTCTCATTACATATTTATCTAACGTATTAATCTTTTAGTGTAAAGCTGTTATAATTATTAAAACCCCTGGAATCAAACATTTGAATATTCTTTAAAATCTTGTATTTTTTTAATAATTATGTTTTTTGTTATTAACAAAAATTAGTGATTTAATAACCATTTTTTAAATAAAAACTTAATTATGTTGTGGAAAGATATCATATAAGTATTAAATAGAGTCAGATATTTTTGTATACAAATGAAATCTTTTGCATGGAAAGATGAGATGTATAGCTGAACACGCAGTTCTATTTTTCTTGGGATGCTGCTCTCATCCCTTCAAATATACTCTTGTACCATATAAAAAATTAAGTATATTTTATATCTTCAAAATCTAAAATGCATTTTTTTCATTATTATTTTATTGTTTGTAAATATCATGCTTCTAAAATAATATTCTTATACTGGTATAGAATTTTATAAAATATAATATATTTGGTTCGTTTTGAAAATTTTATAATAGAGGATTAAACTGTTTTATTTTTATAACATTTTAACTATTCTTACGTGGGACTATTGTTCAACTGTTGAAGAAGAATAATTAAATTTGTGTTATATATTTATATGGGGAATTAAATATTCAAATAATATTATTTGAATGAATGAATATGTATTTTGTGTTATCAAAATCATGTTAGAAATTATATTTTTGTTATATTGGTGTGGTAATGAATTTATGTAGTGTGGTGAGTATAAATTAGGATGCGGATTCTAGAATTGAATTGTATTGCAAATGACTTGAACTTCTTTATCTTGATCTTGTGGTTGTTTTGAATTCAACATTTGATATTGGTGTGAGACAATTTAACAGTGGTTCAATGGGAGGTATTGGTGTATTAGTACAACTAGTAATGAAGATTATCTTAAAGTGAGGAGGTTCTCTATAGTTTTATAATTTATATATATATATATATATATATATATATATATATATATAAATTTTAAATTTAATAATTATTAAATATATTTATTTATATAATTATAATTTTCTTATATTTATTTTTTATTTATTAATAATATATTATTTCATTGTGATTCAACGTATGACAAAACATGTAGGGTTATATTTATTTTAGGTGTAGGATGATTAAAATAATAATGAAATAAGAACATATTTGATATACTATTCACTATAACATGACATAGACGTGAAAATATTAATATTCAAATTTGTAACATTGTTAATCTCAAAATGTCTACACGATATGTCACATACTAGTATAGGTTTAGAGGTTTAGTTTCAATCCAAAGTTAAAAAAAGAAGTTAAATTGGATAAAAAAATTTACTATTTAAATATATTTTATTTTTAATTATTTAGATTAATTAGATATATTTTATTTTTAATTATTTAAGTTATGATTTATATAAATTTAAATTAAATTAATTTGTAAATTTATCTTTTAGTATATTTTATAAAATAATAATTATTTTTAAATAAAAATAATAATATTTTATTATAAAATATAAATATATTATAAATTAATTTAAGAAAAATTTATTGATTTTAAGAATATATATAAAAATAAATATTTATTAATTACTTATTTTAAGATTAATTAATATTTTAAATTAATAAAATTTTAAAATAAATAATAATAAAAAAATATTTTTTTATTATTTTAAAATTAAATAAATGTATTTATATATTAAATCATCATATCTTAAAACAAAATTAATTTTATTAATAAAATTAAAAATTTTAAAATATTTTTTTATTTTTATTTAAATATATTTTTAATTGATTGATTTTATATAAATATTTAATATTTTAGACTGAATATAATATCAGATTATATTAAAATTTTTATCTATTTTAAAATATAATTAACCCAGCCATCAAATTTTTTATTAGATTTATATATTAATTCGAACTTGATTGTACCCTCTATTATAACAACTCACGTAATATTATAAAAATGAGATAATAATATAATGAATATTATATATATATATATATATATATATATATATATATATATAATGTAAAATAATAAACTATAATATTTAAATATGTAATTTAGTTTATAATAATATTATTTATGTGTATCAGAGATAAAAATTCTACTTAAAATAATTTAAATTGAGATGATATCAATAAAAATGTGTTACACATGTATATTATATATTTCTATATTTTAATTTTTAGATTAACACAAAATTTTGTATTATATATTATAATTACTTCATTTATTTAAAATTAATATAATTTTATTTATTATAATAATTTTTAATATTATCATAATATTTATTAATTAATTATTTCAAAGTTTGGTATATTACAACATTGTTAGATTATTTATTGATTGATTAGGTATGATTTTATAACGCGGTTTATGGTTTATTTTTTTAAATATTTACAAATTTAGTTAAAATTACTCTTTATTCATATAAAAAAATTTGTGTATATATAATTAGATAATTAATAAATATTAATTTAACTACTATTAAAATTCAACAAATAAAATTCTACACGATATGTATTAGTTAAGTAAAATTGAATTAATTTTTTTAAAACAAAATATGAAACTCAAATTTTGTGAATAGAAAAATGCGATTAAGATAAAATACATCACAAAATATTATAGTCATTTTTTATAAAAATTAGTTAGTAATAAAATTAGTTAATATTTTATATTAATAATATACTAAAAAATCTGACTTCTTTTAAGTTTAGGAGAAGAAATGTTTCAGAAATTTAGACAGAGTCAACTGTAAAATTGAAATTAGTCAAAGTCTTGATTTGTTCTTCACCTTCTTCTCCCTCAAATTCTGTGTTTCGATTTCATTCAATTCTCACACACAACCCAATCATGACACAATGTCCATACACTATTCCGCGCCACCGCCGCCCACCCTCCAATCCATCCGCTGCTCCCTCTCCCATATCTCCTCCCCGCCTCCCGACCACCGCCCCTTCGACACCCCCCACCGCTTCGCTGCCTTCGCCCACCGCCTCTCCCACCTCCTCCTCCTCCTCCTCCCGCATCAGCACTCTCCACCCGTCCACACATCCCTCAAGGGACTCGCCGCCGAGCTCTCCAAGGCCGCCGAAACCCTCTCCGTCTACAACAACGGCAGCAAGATTCTCGTCCTCCTCGACTGCAAATCCCTCTGCTCCGCCCTCCACGAACGCGTCGTCGCCATTGCCGCTTGGCTCGCACTCCTCGCTTCCGCCCTCCCAACCGCCGCCTCTGGCGTCGACGACGACGACGACCTCCGCAAGAAGGTCTCTGACCTCGCTAGGGACATGAAGCTCGCACAGTTTATTGTACCTTCTCTTTCTCTACATCCTCTTTTTTTTTTTTTTTTTAAACTCAAATATTTAATTCACCTGGGAATTTAGAACTTGAACTTATTTAATACTTAAAATTACACAAAATTACTTTAGTCATATAGAACAAAAAATTAGATGCAATACTCCAAATCATTAAAATGTAAACGATTTAGTGCCGTTTTTTATTAAAATTGAATTTTAATATGTATGTCTTGCTAATGTAAAATATTTTATATTAATAAACGACTAAAAATCGTGTTTCCTATGATTTTTGGAAGAGTTATTTAAGTTTATGAGTGAATGACAATTTATGGCTGAATGATAGTATTAAAAATAGTGCATTGATCACAATCAAAGTAGTTTGGTATGGATACTGGATAACCACCTCCTTTTTACCATATTGTCATAGATTTCAATATTTAATTAAGTTGTTTACGCCTCAAAGATTAGTGTCTGATTCTTGGGCATACCTTTAATTTTGATTTCAATATAAGTTTTGTTGTTGATTTTTGTAATATTATTAAATGATAACCATTTTAATTTTGAAAACTAAAAATAAAAATATAAGTATTACAATATCAGATGGTAGTAATGCCAGTGAAGGATTAAATCTAACTTGTAAAGGATAAATGTAGTGTATTATTCTGGTTTGTACTTTGTTTTAGTGCCTGATATGGTGTTTGATGATAGGTATCAGACAGCGAAAAGAAGGTTTGGTGCACACTACAAAAGGAAGGAGATGGAAGAGAGAGCAGCAAAGCTGTGCAGAGTGGAATTGTCATGGATTTGGCTCGCGCTTTGGGTTTTGACCCTAGTGATCGTGATGAGTTTTGTAACCAGGTGAGGCTCTTCAAAGATGATCCTTTTAGATCTCACTCTGTGCCTGAGAGAAGAGTATTGGTATCCTTGGAGAGGATTCTTAGCAATTGGTCCGTGGAACCTGTCTCTGTGACCTCCCATTGGGACTTTGAAGATGCTGATGCTCCTGTTTTTCCATTTAAGAGTTTCCTCTGCCCCTTGACCAAGGAAGTCATGAGGGACCCTGTGGTTGTTCTGGAGTCCTCTCAGGCCTATGAGAGGACTGCCATTGAGTACTGGTTTGAACGGTGCATACAAGATGGCCGTGACCCCACTTGTCCAGTTACTGGAACGGTTCTTAAGTCATTGGAGCTGAAGCCTAACATTGGGCTAGCTGGGGCAATTGATGAGTGGGTTGGCAGGGTTGTTGATTATCAAATCAAATCTGCAGTGCAGTATCTGAGTGAAGAACCCTTGTCTGTTGATCATGTTGAGCATGCTCTGGATCATGTTTATAAGGTTTCAGAAGAACACCCCGCTAGAATATACATAATCAGAAATGCTGGTGTTGTGATTTTGATAGTAAATGTGCTCAGTAATAACTCCAAAACTATTGGATCACGTTTGAGAAGTAAAGCTCTAACGACTTTACTTAGCATGGCGAAGGATGACGAAAGCAGGGTCAGTTTTATTCATCATTCTATGCTTATTTTTGAACCTTTTGTGTCTTTAATTTTCACAACAAATGAACAACATAAGATTATACAAGTGTCACCAACCAATATGTCAAAGTGCCATGTCGAGGTCTAGAAAAGGAAAACAGAACTATGTTGAAATCATACAATAAGAATTGCTTGGTGCATATTTTTTCCTTTACACGATACTGATAACATTAAAGTTATGCTTTGTATTAAACAAGTTTCTTAAATTTGGAAGAACATTTGTCCTTAGATTCTCATGTTTCATGTAAGGTTCTGTAGTCGCAGTCTACAACTCTTCTAAACCGGGGCATCTATAATTTATTTTCAAGTACAGGCATGAATCGTTGCTAAATTAAAAACTAAATTATTCATTGGGTCCCTTCAGTTTAGACTTAATGCAATGTTGGTCTTTTAATTTTTTTTTTGAGCTAATTACATTACAACAGATTTGAGATATGAGAAAACATTAAAGTTAAGGAGTCCAATTTTGTAAAAATAGATAAATTTGGAAGGACTTTTTTGGGTAAAATTTTATATTATGGTTGACGAGTTTTGAGCAAAAGATGGTTTAAAACAAGTTAATTTATTGAACTTGGATTGATTTTGAGTAAAATAATAAAATTTGTGGAATTTCAGTAAAAGAAAATTGACAAGAAGGTAAGTTTACTTAATTTTAAAAATAGAGTCCTTATTGACTTTAAAACAACTTGAGAGACAAACACTGCACAACTTTATACTTAAGCAACTAAAAGTACAATTAAGCCCATATTAAATCTAACTACTTTTATCTGACTATATGATGGATGACTGCATACTGAAGTAAGAAGAAAACAACAACAGATAGTTGCTATTGTGGCTTCAATTTCAAATGTTCTTCGAATTGTATCTCTTGTAAAATTGCGTGCTTTCACCTTTTTCTTTTTCTAGTGGAACTGAGTACTGATTTTGCATTATCAATGACAGACAAATTATCCAAAAATAAAACAAGCGTTAAGGAATTATTTACATTGACGGAGATGCCAACCCTTGCCTTTTGGACTATATGATTTTTCGTTGGTTTCTGGCACATATGCCTTTTATGGAACATATGTACTACTACTGTTCCTGATGCAATTTTTTACTTACTGCTAGAAAATAATGCTTGAACGGGGTATAACTAGATTGGCTGTACATAGTCTTATTGGGAGCTCTGAGAAAGAGAGAGAATATGCTACCAAGTTATTACTAGAATTCTGCAATGATGAAGATTGTTGTGCAAGAATTGCATCAGAAAAAGGTGCATTAGTTCTTCTCTCAAGTATAGCAGGAAATCTAGAGTATCCATCTTTGTCAAATTTAGCTGAGGAAGTCTTGAGGCAGATGGAGAGGGTAGATGATAATGTTCAATGTTTGGCAGCAGCGGGAAGATTTGGACCATTGATTTCACGGTTACACAATGGTATTATCACTTCTGCTTCTTCCAGATGGAGTATATGCTAACGACTATTTGTTAAGAATATACTTTGTTGACATTTATCCTTTTCTATTGGTTAAATATAAAGCCACAAAATAGACTGTTTGTGATGTTTGAACGTGGTTTTTGGTTAACATTTAAGATTAAATATATTTAATTGTAACTTGCCAAATTTTGGAGCAGGTTCTGTTGGTGTAAAGATAGAGATGGCTTCTCTGGTGGGAAGGATGACCTTAACAAATAGCTGTAAAGAACAAATTGCAAGGCAAGGAGCCAGAGCATTTGTAGAACTTCTGCCTTATCAAGAGGGAACTAGACCAAGTCTGCAAGCATTGTATAACTTGTCAGGATTGGATGGCAATGCAACCATCCTTATTGAGTCTTCAGTCCTTCCATCTCTAACGGAAGTTTTATTTGATAGGCAGGATCCATCTCATGAGCTGAAGTCATTAGCTGCTTCAACAATTGCGAATATTGTATCTAAGCCAGGGCATTGGGAATTAGCTTCCGCTGACAAGAAAGGAAACCCAATGCAGTCAGAAATTATTGTTTTAAGACTTCTGGGGCTTTTAAACTGTTTGCCCTCTCAGTGTCAAGTGGTAGTTCTTCGCATTCTTTGTGGTATTATATCATCTCCTCAAGCATCAGGTAATTTCCATCAACTAGCATTAAGTTAATAGGATGATTGTGCTCTCCGGCATTTCTTCATGAATGCCCTAAACTTTTTTCTTGATTTCACAACCTCAACCTTTAAGCTGTTTAATTTGGTATTAGGTTTTAATTTCCTCATTAAAATTGAGATATACACAAGAGTTTAATAATGTGGACTTGTAATTAAGTGAGAACTGCACATTTGATATTTACACTGAATTTTATTTTTTATGGTTATACAATCAATGAATACTCAAGCTGTTTTGTGGTACTTCCTTAGAAGTTAGCTTTCAGAGATCATATCGTTGAAAAGAAATCATTTGCTTATTTTAAACAAAGGGCATTTATCTTTTGGTGTGTGTGCATATGGTGTTGTTCAAATATATTACTTCCCCTCAATTTCCATTTTTGGTTACGTCTTATTCCTTTCGATTTGTTAATGTCGAGAATAACTGTTGTAATCATTAGGTCTTTGTGGGAGAAATTTTTTGCATTTACAATTAAATTTAATTGCACTACAGCAAACGTCATAATTTCAGCAAATCCAACTGTCTAGATTTTATGTTCAAGTCTAGAGTTTGTGTGCGAGGCTGCGTTCAAATATATTTAGGAAAATGATGTCTTCACATCGATGTTTTGCAAAAACATCCATTTAACAACCAAATACACTTATATAAAATTATTATTTATTACTGTATTATTATTTAAGGTTGTTGATTGGGAGTAAGGGATGTCAATATATCAACCCTCATATATTTAGGTGCATTTTATTCCTTCTGATTTGTTAACGTCAAAACTCAGAATAGCTGTTGTAACTCTTATATTTTTATGCTAGAAAACTTTTGCAATTACAAGTAACAAAAATTGCATAATTCTTAAAGTATTAGTTTCAGCATTCAACAAAGCAAAATATCTGAAGTTATATATGGTCCATAGTTCTAGTTTCTTGTAATTTTGAAGTTTTTTTTCTCCGTCATTTTCTTTTTATAGATGATGATTTAATAATTTTTTCTCCATGATTTTCTTTTCTTATATAAAATAGTTTTGGATGCGATTGGTTGAGCAATATGGTATATGTGATAGCCATTCTACTTTTGTGGTTGGAGATGGCTTGTTGTAATTATTTGCAGTAGAAGGATCCATCTTCACGCTGACATAATGGTGAATGATGTTTTACATTTGTTTCTCTTATTTAGAGTTAGTAGCAAGTCATATCACGTCCAAGGGTGGCTTTAGAACGGTCATACCATTTCTGGAACACCCAGAAGTTGAACACAGGGTGTTTGCTTTTAAGCTTACAAGACTACTATCCGAATGGTTTAGTCAATACATTGCAAATGAGTTGAGACTTCAAAACAAACTTACTATACTCAAAGAAAAACTGTTAAATAACCAATCTACAAGTGATGAAAGGTCAGATGCAGCACAGATACTAGCCAATGTCTCCCTCTCAGAAAGTGAAATGCAGACACTTCTAGGAGGTAATTTTGTGGAATGGACTGCTGTTACTCTCAAGAACCAGCTGCGTGCTTCCAATGCAAGGTCTTCTCATAGTGCTGCAGGCATGCAGGAAGGTCTTATAGGTCTCTTGCTTCACTTCACAAGAAACCCTGATCAAGAAACTCTTACTATAATTAGGGGTAATCACCTTATGGACATTTTCTGTGAGCAGCTGGATTATACTTCAAAACCAAAGGTAAAACAACTTGCTGCTATTGGATTGAAAAACTTGTCAGAATTTGGATATTCAGATACTACCAGGGACTCTAAACTACCATCTTCCGGTGGATTCTGTTCCTCCCTTGTGTTTGTCTGTGGGAGATCCCCAAGTCAATCTTCCACATGCCCCATTCACAACCGTCCCTGCAATGAAGATAGTCAGTTTTGCCTGCTCAAGAGCAACTGTATTAAACTCCTGGTTGATGTCCTCAATGACAGTGACACTGATGTTCAGCTAGCTGCAGTGGATGCACTTTCAACACTAGTACTAGATCACAAATCTAGCAGTTTCAAAAGAGTTGTTGACGAGCTTGAACATTTGGGTGCAGTTGATGCTCTTATGACTCTTTTTACAGAAGTTAGATCTGAGGAGCTTCGGGAGAAGACAATTTGGATGATAGAAAAGATATTGAGAGTGGAAAATATTAGCAGTCGATATGCACTCAATCATTCTCTTGTGAGAACTTTGGTCGAAGCCTTTAAGCATGGCAATACCAACACAAGGAAACATGCTCAAGATGCTCTTACCCTCCTAAAGCAGTTATCAGGAGTTAGTGGAAAGACATCAAGTCAAACTCGAGCTCGGAGATAGCAAAATGTTTGTATTTAATCAATCATTCAAATGTTGTATAATCAAATAACGTCTTTGCCCATTGTTTGTATAGATGTCAGAAAGAGTTAAAGGACATTAACGATTGTACATATCAACCATGTCATGATGTCATTATAGGACTACCCACACCTGTGTAAACATTCATTTTGAAAGAGTTACCGTAGCAAGGAAGATTTTTGAACAAATATTTGTTTCTCTGTGACCAAGTGTTAGATCAGTATAAATGTTTCGAACCGATTCAAAGAAAATTTCATCTTAACATATAACTTCTGTGATGTTGTGATTCAATAATTGAAGATGTTGCTACTAGATAGAATTGTTTTTCTTGCATCTCTGTCAAAGATCAAGGTTAGTATTAGCAGCGGGAAAAATTAAATTGATACCTAGGTGAAATATATTTTTGGCACTTCAAACTAAATGTTGGTTTTGTCTCTATAAAATTTTATATATTATGTTATAAGAAAAAAATGTCTTTATTATCAATATTTTAATACAACCACACATTTTAGTCTTTGATAAGAAATTAAAACTACTTCACTTTCGATAAAGGCATGGGTTAAGAATGTATAGAACTTTTACAAAGAATAAAACCAACATTTCAAACATTGTGGGATTGTCAAGAATAAGTCTTTACTACTTATGTTGCATTTTAGTTATTAAAATCTAGTCAATGTTGCTAATTTCGTTTAATTGACGCAGATAATGTTAGTTGACAAGAAGTTTGAAATTGACTTGTGTGTTCATGGGGTTAGCATCACTGGGTTAATTTAAACGGAAAAGATAATATTAATTCAATTTTAAAAATTAAGAAACCAAATTAACAAATTTAATTATAAAGTAATTAAAAAGAACAAATTAAATAAAAGAGAGACTACAAGAGTAACTTATTCTTTATTATGATAAATATTTTCACCAATCATTAAATTGTTGTGTTGTGTCAACACTTTAATATTATGTTGGATGAGTGAATTCTTTAATGAATTTTAATAATTTCAAAGATTAATTATTAGCTCTATGGTTTCCTGAATTCACCTAAAAAAGGTATAGGTTGTAAAATTGTAACGTTAACTTGTTTCATTTCTTAATTTTAAGCCATATCTCCAAAAACTTAAAAAAATCATTTTTTTTCTTCGTTGAATTTCTAAATTATATAACTAAATATAATGAATGGCATTAAAAAAAAACATGCGTTGGTTTGATAATAAAACATACTATTTTTTTTTTGAAAATAATTGTTTTATTTTCTATAATATAAGAGGCTATTGATATTTACTATATTTTTTTATCTTCTGTATTGAATTTTGTATATTATTTGAAGGTAAGGTATAAGTTTGACGGAAAATAAATTATGTTTCGTGAATTTTAAAATTCTATAAATAGATGAGTAAACTAAATATTTTTATAATTTCAAATTTTTATCTTTAAAGTTTAAATTCTCTATATTATTTTTAAATTTAAAATATTGAGACTATGTTGAAATTTAGATAAGAAAGTGATAAAGTGAAGTTAAAAAGGTATAAGATAAGATTAGTTGATAAAAAAAAGTGACAGTCTGAAATTATAAAAAACATAAAAAAAATACTAATTTATAAGAAATAAATTATCACGAAGTTATTCCAATTTTTTTTAGAGTTTATTAAAAGTTTTTAAGTTAAAAGTGTTAAGAATAATGATTAAGACTAAGAAGAGTGAATTGATTTATTAAATTTTTTTTTTTAATTTTCTTGAATTATACTAATTCTCAAAGAACAAAATCAATTGTTTTCAAGAGTTAATTGATAATGCAAGATATAAAAGATAAATTCAAGAATGTAAGAGATAGAGAGAAAGAAGGCAAGAGATTTATATAGGTTTATTCAATTAGTTGGACTACCAATAATTCTCAGTATTAATCAGCTGAGTTTCATTAACTCAATACTAAAGTACACTAACAAATCAGTAAACATATTCAATATATTAAACATATTCAATATACTCCAAAAGCTTCTTAAACACTTAAAAATCATTCTTGACACCACTAACCACCTATACTAGGTCACCACTAACCGGTACCCACCATCAGGTATCACAAAAACACTAAAAGAACCCGAAAACAATGATTATACTACAAAAGATTCTAAATGCAAAATCATAAACTCTAAATCTCTTTAAAAAAGTAAAATATATGCCTCAAATAAATTTTAAATTATTATCTCATATTGAAAAACACACGTTAATCTCTCAAAGATTGCTAGAAGTTTTTTTTTCAAAAACATATGTTGAGAAGAGATCAAAGTTGTTTATATAGGAAAAACATATAACTTTAATCTATTAAATCAATCATTTAATCAATTATTTTTGCTAAAACGCTAATTAATAGATTAATTTGTGGTTTTAATAGATTAAAACAAGAGAAAGAACTTTTAAAACAATTTCATAAGTGGTTTAAAACCATTTTTAATCGAGAGTTACATTTTTAAAAGATGTCATTAAGACTAAAAACAAATTTAAAATTGAGAGCCACATTTTCAACCATATCATCAATTGGTTAAAACTGAAAATCACTTAAAATGTCATCAAGACTAAAAAAAACCTTTTAAATTGAGAGTCACATTTTATCCATTGATTGAAATTGAGAGCAAAAAAAAAGTTATTGAGACTAATAAAAGAGTGGTTACATCAAAACAAAATAATACTCAAGTATTTAATAAAAATGTCGAGAATGATAAAATAGTAGTTTTATCGATTTAAACCATAAAAAATATATTCAAATGTTTAAATGAAAATTAATTGATTATTTCAAATATTGATCAATTAAAAACCAATCTTAAGAGTATTTAACAAATTAAAAACAATTTTATCATATTAAAATAATTCTAAAACATATTTTAGCAAAGATTAAGACATCCTACTACACACTAGACTAAGACACACACATAATAAACCTAACATTTCTAATTTCATCAAATTCTGTCGCTCAACCTGAGTTTATCAAATTCAACAAGTGTTAAAAAAAAAACCAATTAATAGTTGAATATTCTGATTGTTTGAAATACTAAGAAAGCAATGGAAATTCTCTATAGCAAATTTACTTTGATAAATAAAGAAAATATGATAGTTCATGTAAGGGATTAAATATTCAAAGATTATACAATTAAGTATAGATGATGTGTTTGGTGTTGTTTTGAAGATGAAACATGTACTTAAGATGTTTTTTATGTTTTACTAGTATGAATATGCATGTTGGGTTAGGTGAGGTGATAATTAAAAATGTATGAAATTTTTTTTATTGTTTTGTTTTGTCTTCTCTTGAATGAGAAGATATTCAATGATGATTTGTTGAAGTGACTCAGATATTTAAGTAAGATACCTATAAAGGAGAAAAAATTTACACAATAATGATTTTGCTCAAGTGTTAACCACTCAAGTGAGCTATTAATTAATGTAAGAAAGATAATTGATTTTGTTTATTAGTTATTTGTGACCTTAACGATACTTAAACAATTAATAAATAGGATAAATGATCTTGTTAGATGTACTTCAACAAAGTAAATGCTTAAGTGAGGTAGTCTTGTTGCTCAATCAATAAGATATTATTTAAGCAATGAAGAGACAAAATTAAATTACTTGAGTATTAGAAATACATCATTTAAGCTACTAGAGTGATGTTCATGCATATATATTTATTTCCATAATGAAGTGATAGATGTTATGTGAGGTTGAGACCCATTTTTGAATATTTTCATGTTAGTACAAGTGAAGAAAGAGTCAACCCTAAAGAAGTTTCCTAAAATTAACTGATGTATGTTAATACTTGTGGACAGGTTTGTTTGAGGTAATGATATGAAAATTGCAAGTACGAGTATATGATTAATAGTGTGTGTGTGATGTTTGTTGGAGGCATTAACTTAAAAATAATGGATAATATTAGGATGATACTTTGTGATATTAGTATAGTGTTAGTGTTGGTGAATCCATTGAGATCATTAGTTTTCATTAATAGTCACATAAACTAAAAAGGAGTCGATAAAGGAAATTATTGATAATTTGTCCAAAGGTTATAAAAGATATATCAGGATGGGTAAATGTGATTGATAGTTCTATCTTATGTATAAGGTAGGTAACAAGAATGATGATGGAATTAGAGTAGTCAGTAGTAATATAACATGTAAATGTTAATATCTCAACTTAAAACATTGTATTAGGTCTTTGGTAGATGTCTAGTTATAATTTTTATGAAAATAAATGTTAATCTCTCTTGTTGCTTTGTCACAATAAACCTGTAAGCTTTCATGACTTTCTCATTATTGTTCTTCTTACTCAACTTCAAAGCGTCCAATAAAACATTGTCATTTACCTTTGTTTCAACAAAACATTGTCATCTTCCTATGCCTCAATAAAACATTATCTTTTACTATTATTCTCCCTTATGATAACTTTAAGTGTGTTAGAAACATATTTGGTGAAGATATTTATGGTGGAGAGAAATATAGAAACTATGCATGCATGCAGAAGAATAAATGGAAACACACGTACTTTATGTAAAAGATGAAAGAACGTATTTATACACAGTACAGAAACAGAAAAATGAAAGAAACGTAAAACAGTATTAACTGTTTTCAGTTTTTGACTTATTTCTAACATACCCCCTTAAGTCAAACAGGTTTTACAACTCCAATAGATTGTCTCAGATACCTAAACCTCTCCCCTTTTAATGCTTTGGTAAAGATATCTGTCAACTGAACCTCAGATTTACAGTAAGCGACTTCAAGCTTCTCTTGATTGACTTGCTCCCTAAAAAAATGGAACCTGGTTTCAATGTGTTTGCTCCTACCATGAGCAGCAGGATGTTTTGCTAAGTCTATAGCAGATTTATTGTCCACCATTAATTTTGGACAGCAATTCATCTTCACTTTTAACTCTTCTAAGAGCATTGCTAACCAAGCGGCTTGGCACGCGGCTTGAGAAGCGAAATGTACTCGCTTCACGGGAGGAAAGAG